CACATCCAGTGCTCACAGTGCACACCGTTGAGCCGTCGAGGTCGCCTGTTGTTAACTCAAACTCGAATAATCTTTCTTTAGAATTCAAATTCAAACATTTTATTTTAGACAATACGTCCATATTAGTTAGTGAATAATACAAACTTGCATACTAATGTTAGTAATTACGAGTACACGCTAAGTTTGGGGTACACACTAAGTTTGATCCAGTGTTGAAAGAATTAACCTTAGACCCGACCAGCAATGATCTCAAGAGGCTGTTACCGCTGCCACGTACTCGTACTCTGCGCATCAAAGAGATCACTCGCTTTTGCACAATTGGAGCAAACACATCTACTTGTGTATCAGCGAACATTCCCGAGGGGCTGCAGAGTCGCGGCAGCCGCAACATCATCCTGAATATCGGTACCTCCAATGGACACTACGCCAACTTTATTTTAATCTCATTTTCTGTTATTTTTGTAAACAGCCGTATTTATTTATTAATATTATGCTCCCCGTTTTCTGTGAAAAAAATAAAGATACAAAAAACAAAATTCGTTAAAAAAAAAAACAAAAAAAAACGAAGTTTGTGAAAAAAAGAAAAAAACGTCTGTTTAGTGTTTATTGAAGGTATTGATTTATATATTATACACAACTCTTAGGGGCCTGACAGCTTTCTGGGTGTGGTTGATCCATAGGTTGCAGGTATAAAAAGTCTGGTAGAAAGCCTTAAATAGAGACACCTTTACCTTATTATACCTTGCAAAACTACGGGCCAACATGTTGCCCCATACTGCCAGCGCCCTACGACGCTCCCTCTCTATATCTTTCATAGATATATTATTTCATAGGTAAGTAAATTACACTTGAAATCGACACATTGATTTAACTCTACTACACATTCGTAAGGCAGATTCTCTCGAGAAAAATGAGTCACAAAATCTAATTTCTACAACACCAAATAAAAAAATAATAATAATAAAAATCTTTTATTCTCAGACAGCATAGATCCACAGTTTGTTAGTAAGCAACCTTATACTAACAACTGAGTGTATGGTGAAATATATGAAGTGTACATTAATATGGCAATTAAAATTTTCAAAATCAAGATGTTAAAATATCCAAAATACATAACATGAAATTGACTGAAATAATAAAAATTTAAATTAACAATAGAAACAAAATAAAATTAAGTCAGATAAAAATTCAAATAAGCAACTAAAATAATAGTAATTAACTGGAACACAATTAAAATTTAGAAAGTCCGTTTCTCAAATTTTCTATAGGGAATCGAACCCGGGACCTTCACATCCAGTGCCCACAGTGTAAATCATTGAGTCGCCGAGGTCGCCTGTTGTTAACTAAACAATTTTTCTTTAGAATTCAAATTCAAATATTCTATTATAGACAATACATCCATATTGGTTGGCAAACAATACAAACTTACATAGTACCAGGATCTCGGGCCCGACTACCTATTTACAGCCTTCGAATCGAAAAAATTAATAGACTGTCTGGGAAACCTAATGGCCGGCAGCTACCTTGCCCAACGAATTAGCATAGCAATACAAAGGAGCAACGCTGCCAGCAATTTGGGCACCTTGCCGCGGGGACCCAATTTTATTCATATAATTTAAAGATCCTGTTTGATTCTGAAGTTTTTCTTTCTAGTATTTAAGCTTTTATTGTCTTTTTTACCTTGCCTATATGTTCTCACAATAAAAATACGTCTTGATTGAAATTTGAAAATTACATGTCATAGGGAAATCCATTACATTACAATTACTATTACTTACTTAGTAACTATTTTTGTGTGCGAGATGCATCTGTCTATACTATGTGCTTTGATGGAGAATCTTGTCGCTCTGCTATCACCCTTAGGATAGACCAAATCCAAGACTTTTTTGCTATGGTGCTCGAACTGGTAGGCTACTGACATTGGCTAAAGTCCCTTCTAGTGCTATAGATAGTACCTGTATTGCGATCTACCCAAAGGATTGATGGTGAATGCCACAGATCACAGACTGTATGGAGCCCCTTAGCCTACGGAGAGACGTTGACTCTCTGTGTGAGTTCTACCGTCTTTATAATGGGGAGTGTTCTGAGGAACTTTACGAACTGGTGCCATCGTCTTGTTTCTTCCATCGCACCTCCTGCTAAAGCAGTAGAGTCCATCCCCACATCTTAGATGCCTGGCATTGTAAGACCACGCGGGCACCTCGTTCGTTTCTTCCTCGAACCTGCAAGATGTGGAAAGATCTTCGTCCTGAAGTATTTCCTTTGCGTTATGACATGGGGTTCTTCAAAGAGCGTGTTTACAGGGCTCTCAAAGGCTGGCAACGCATAGGTAGCTCATATGATTTGCAAATGTCCATGGGCGACGATGACCACCTCCTATCAAGTGGCTCGTCTGCTCGTTTGCCTCCTTCTTTACATTAAAAAAAAAGATCAACAAGTTAACGCCTTCTTTTATAGATATCATTGTTTAGCGTGTATTAGTTTATTTCTAAAATACTAACAACCTCGTAAGACTATATTACTAACATTATAAACAACACCACTACCAACGCATTTACGTCATTTGAGGCTCAGAGCGTCAGAGAGAAGGTTTTTCAAAAATGTCTCACTAGATGTAGTGATGTAGGCGTCGAATGCCGAACGCCAGTACAAAGAGCTATAACTAAACACATAGGAGAATTTCGACAGCTCGGTAACTTGACCTGTGCCTCAGTTGGTAAGAGCAATACTACGACGGCGACGCAGCATTTTTCTGTGTTCGATCTTTGTACCAAAAATAAACTTTTAACTTTTTTTGTACTATCTGAAATGTATTTGATAGTAACTTGTTAGCAAAGCCTCCCGCGTGCTTTATTTTTCTAAGGCACACAATTATCACCGTTTAGAATGACCTATTAAATATTTAAAATTTTTATTGAATAGATATTCAATTATTTTTTGTGAAATTACTCCACTAGTTTGTTATAATTATTAA